GGGAGAACAGGAGGTCAGGCGGGAAGCGAAGGACTGGGGAGCCAAGTGCTCGGTAAGTGCTGGCGTGTCTTTGCCCATCTCTGTCGCCTTTTGTTAGAGCTGTCTCCTCTGATCTTGCCTTTCTCATTATTACTCTCTGCTACAGCATTTGGGCTCAGTTCCAAGGCTGAGGCCTGCTCCTGCTGAATGTCTCCCGTATCCTTTCCCTGTTAGCCAGCCTGTCTCATTAGAGCCTGCAGGGCGTGTGCTGTGCTGCAGCGATGGCATTGCTCTCTCCTGCTTTGCTGCACTCTAGGGGCTGTGCTCCATTTAATAGTTGGGTACATTTTCTACTGCCATCCCCTTTGGACTTGGCTGGTAGAGCTTTAGGAGGCTTCTTAATGTGCAGCTCCTTAGTCTTCACTCTTAGTTTTGTGAGGACCTAGCCCCAGTCTGTGCCTTAGCCAGGGCCCTTAATGTTCTGAACAAGAAGGGAGTTTTTTACAAAAAACTGCTTTTCCAGCAAGTCTTGTTCTACAAATTGCAATCCCAGCAAATAGTGTGGCTTCTGTTGGAGATCTGAAGTTTACTGGATATTTCCATTTTAAACTTTACATTTTTGTTTATTGCACTTTTTATTGTCACTGTCGCTCAAGCTAGCAAGGGGCATAAATTAGGGGTAAATCAATAGATTATTGGGTGACTGGGGCTATGTCCTTCCTCTTGGCCAGAAGTTACCACACAGTGAGCATTTGAGTGCCTTGGGCTATTTCCTGCCTGTCTGACCAGCTCCTAACAGGCAAGAGTCACATGCATAAAAGAGTCACTGTTACAAACAAATCATTACAAAGGAGTGGTTCTGCCAGCTAGCCCTAGGAATGTGGGAAAGGTCCTGAACTTTGACACTGGAGTTAGAAAAGTCTTCCAGAAGCAGTAAGTCGGAGCTCTTGCAGCACATAAATCTCCTTGCAGATAAGTCTAGACACAATCTCTCCTCCTCTTCTAGTGCACATTACCCCAGTGACTCTTTATTAATATGAGTCTCCTTCATTTCCATGTGGCATTTTCCATTTGCAGTGACACAGAGGATTCACAGTGAAGGCCAGACCCTTCTCCACAGCAGGCTCTGTATTTATTGGCTCCCTGACCCCCTGTCCCCCACCTCCTTGTCCACTACAAAAAATTCAAGCTTTTTGTCTTTTCTTCATCAATATATCCTGTCATAGCTTCTAGTGTGAGCAACTGTGAGTTTTCTCTTTGAATCAGACTGTTGCTGAATCAGGTTCTTTTATCTCCTTTTTCTCATTTTAAAAAGGTTTAGTTAATCCTGCTGGCAGTAATATTTGTGCCAAAAAGCTGAGTAAATGAATCTGTGATGAACTCTGTGACACCGCATCTGATTTCCTCCAATACCAAGCTAGGTGCTTTAAAAATAGCTGGGGTACCAGTCAGCTCCAGCACAGTCATTTCTTGTGCCTGGAGCAGAGACGTGCCTGAAGAATCTAAATTAGTAACAACTTTGCTGACTTGATTCCAGCTGCACCAGCTGTTTGTTTAGGTAGCTAGCCAAACAGCAAACACCCACAAAGCTGTTAACTCTGCAAACCTTCAGTAAGTATTTCCTAAACTACTGCTGACAAATTTCTGATGGGACCTTAATCTCTGTAAAATCTATGGAATTATGTCAAAGCACCATCAGTCAGCGTGTCACTGGGCTACTTTGTGGTGTGGCTCAGTGATTTGTTTTCCCATTCTTACTGCAGAAAAGTCAAACTGGGAAGACTTTACCCAGCAAGGGAGATGGGCACAGCCTGCAGCAGTGATGAGCTGGTGGATAGTGCCCCAAGGTGTGCTTTCAGAAAGAAGCCTGAACCTGAAGAAGGTTTTCCTTCTCTGTTTTTTATATCATTGGAAACAAGTGAAAATTACCTCTTTACAGTCTTGGGAGAGCAACATTTTTCCTTTTCTGCCCTTACTCATACAAGAGCAAGGGTGGTATCACCAAAGAGGTGCTCTACAGTTAAACGTGCAACCAGCAGGAAGTAAATGCACAAAGCCATGTCCTAAGTGAGCACTGTTAGGTCACATTCAATATTGGAACTGTTCTGGTTTATACCTGCTTCAGACCTCCTGATGCTCAGCATAAGCCTCTAACAGTTGTCACTGAGAAGAAGCTGGGGCTGGAGGGGAGCAGGCTGCCTGCCACAGCAGCATCCCCGGGTGAAGCCTGCACATTATTGCTGCTTGGCATCGCCCCAGTTCTGGGACTCACTGAGAACCCACACAATTTTCTGAAGCTGAATCCTTTTTTCTCTGGCCATCATATACCGTGAGCCTGGACTAGAGAAGTTATTGCTGTCAACAGTAACAGACGCAAAAAAATTACCACTTTTCCTGAAAATAAAACAAACAAACCAAAACAAAACAAAATAACCCAACACCTCTCCTGCCAGCCTACAAAGCAATGACAGCAGGCAACAGTTCAAACAGGGCCCTTGCATACAAACAAACAAAGATGCCTGACAGGGCTTGAAGCAGAAAAAATGGCACAGCTGTACCACCACATCAGTGAAATTGTATGAGCCTTTTTATTTCCAAGGATGCAGACAGATGCCACCTGAAACACAGGATGCTTGGAAATACCACACACACACAGTTTACCACACATCTTCTTTGAGCCTCCCTTCTGAATCTCCTTTGCACAAATGGCATTAACACTGCTAGTGCTGACAGGAACCAAGAGAAGCTGTCCTCACAAAACTTAAACTTGTACAGAACCAAAGAGTAGCTTAGCAAAAAAGTGTTTTTGAGGTGGCAAATAATAATTTCTTAGAAATCACCTCTTTATTAATGACTGCAAAATTAAAAACAGACAATGAGATTTGAATTTAGAGGCTAGACAGCAAAATATGGTGACTGTAGATATTTTTCTTGCCCAAGGTGACTCTCATTGAGCCTAATTTTCATGCAAGCATCCAAGTCACCTTGTAGATACCTGTGCCCAGTGTGACTCGTGCAGGGAGGTCCAGCTTGTACCCTTGGAGAAACACTCTGCAAATAAGGGCTGTCTCTGCAATAAACTGAATCACACTCTCATCAAACTGGTAGTCTTTGAAAAATGCCTGGATATATGACCCGTTTTAAAAATAAATGTTAGTCAGTTGATTCATTAAAAGGCAAAGAGGCGGATAACATCCTTGGTGAACTTTGTGCTTTTGGCACAGTTTCCACTGCCTGGAGAGAAGCTGTGTAATGTCTTTAGGGGAGAGAGTGGTTGTGTAAAACAGTCATTTTTTACAGTTCAAAAGATAATTGAACTCTCTGATTCACAAGCTCTAGTTTTTTATCCTCTCTGTCCTCTAGTATGTTATTGCACAGTCCCCCTGGTCCCTCCTAAGCTCCCAGGTTAAAGCTGGCTCGTGTGAGGGGGCTTTGGACACTGGGTAGTGTACGAGGTCTGACCAAACTGAAAAAGTGCTGAAGTCCCAGGACATAGACTGTGATTAGATAATCTCATGGCCAGTTGCTTATCACTTGGGGTTTTTTAGGTTTAAATTGAAGGCAGGAGCCAGCTGGGTTAAATTTCCAGTCAGATGTGGAGGAGATTCGATGAGTGGTTTGCAGGAAAAGGAAGTAATTTATCTCATCATCTGCAGTTGGCACTGAGGGCCATGGCTGGGAGGCGCTTTGGGGAGCATCACTGATGTCTTTTGGCCGGGAAGGGCTGAGTTCACGCGGTGGCAGACGTGGCTCCATGGCAACCTTGCTGTCACTGCTGCACTGACTGTTGCCACTCTGCAGAGCAGCACAAGAAAGGAAAAGGAGCAGTGGTTCCTGGCATTAGAGGGCAGCATCATAAGCATGCCTTTCTTTCCTAGCAAGGAGGGTAGGACTTTTTCAAGCAGAAAAAGAAATGCTGCCCATGCAAAGCCTGAAAGAATTCATTTCAGACAATTCTAATATATCTGTGTAAGAAAGAGCAACTTCTTCATCATTAACAAAATACTGATCTTGCTAAACCAGTGGCTTACAATTTTATTGTAAGATTTCAGAGTGGAAAATGCATTCCAGATAAGCAATAATTAAAGAGGATTTTCCTACCAAAAAAAAGTGAGAAATCTGACTTTAAATTAGTGTGAAGATATGGATCTTAATCTGCAAAAACCTGAAGGCATTAATATTTTGAGAAAATATCTACATATGCATATTATAAGCTTGTTTGGGAATTTGTTAGGCACGGGGTGGAGAGTATATTATGCAGACGCTAATGAAAAAAAATAATCTTTGTAAACATGTTCTGTATTAAAACTGTACAATATATTGCAAGAGTTCAGGTAAGTTCAAGGTAGCACAGGGAACTTGCAAGAGAAGTGGTGCCTTCCCGTTGTACAAATGGTACGTGTTCATATGTGCAGGCTGGAGAAATTCTCTGTAACACAGTGCAGAAGCTCCATCAGCCTCTTCCCATGCTTCTGCTGTAGAAGGTGTGCAAAGCCCCTTGGGTTGTGCCCTTCAAAATACAGCCAGGGAGCCACTCACTGTAGAAAGAGGCTGTGCTTTTGAAAGTGAGAAATGCTGAAGAAATAGACCATGAGTAATGTGAAGGAATTCTGTTCTGAGATGTGGTGTCTGATGTAACTTCGGTGGTGATGTTGGGGTAATGGCCTCAGTGATACTGACTACATTCATGTCCCAAAGCCACTGTTGCAAAATTTCACTACAGGATGTTCATTAAACTTACTTAGAATAAACAAAAACGTTCATCTATCAGGCTAACTAGTATCAGTTATAAAAAAAGGAGATACAGGATAGTGGCTTATCTCTTATATCTGGCAATTAGCCATGACTGAACTGCACTCATGTCCCATTTTTAATGCAGTACAAGTACACCTGACTCTTTAAATCCAGAAAGGAGTCACAGCGCTGGGCACTAGGCAAAGGACACATGACAGATATAAACTGTGCTTTCCTGGCCTGTGGGTTAGCAAAAAACATAATATATGAGTAAACAGACTGAAAAATCATTGAGAAGTCTCCTTTTATTGAAGCAAAGCAATATGCTGCAATACACAAAAATTGATTCTTTCAAGCTTCCAGAGATATTAGAGAAGCATTACAGAGAACATCACATTTGCCACCAATTCTTAAAAAAACCTGACAACTCAAGCCTCTAAAAAAGGAAGCCTTTGAAGCACTTTTGATAGTACTGTTTTAATACATTTTGATGAGATAGGATTTCCTGTGCAGCAACTTATAAATACTGATGGGCATATTGATTCAAATAAAACAATTACAGTCTATACTAATAAACTTTAAAAAAAACCCATACATTTTTGTGAAGATCAAACAATAGATGGAGAAGGGACTGTGATCCTTTATGGGCACATTTTGAATATACTAGATTTTCTTATTCTTAACTAAAAGTCAATGGTGAGAGTAATGAGATAATGTAATGCTTTACCTTTCTTGTCTTTCATAATAATTTAGTTCAAGCAAGCTTTAGGAAAATCACACTTTTATTTCAAGAGCCAAAAGATCAATACAGCAGTATACATTTAGTGCTTGAGGGAAAACTTACTAAAAATCATTTCATGATGAAAATGCCAAAGGCAGATGTTTTTGTTCAATCTGTTGCTTTGAAGGGACCTTGTAATCTTAATTCCACATTAAAGACTTATGGCCATTATATCAAAAAAAGGCAGTAGGGGTCCCTGTAGAATGATTCTATTAAAAAAAAACCCCACAGTATTAACACATTTTAGCATAGCAGTCTGTATAATTACTTTGGCCTAACAGCTGATCCTACAATGTATGAAAGACTTTGACTCAAATACATACAAAAGCTATTCTGTTGTTCTTTGCCTAGCCAGTGCTCCCCCATCCAAATGAAGAGGGTCAGAGAGTGTTTCAGCCAACAATGTTCTACCTTCCATATTTTTGGAGGAACAATCAGCAGAAAAACAGATCAAGCTGAACTTAGAACAATTCCTGTGCTGATGAATCAGCATTTCCCATTTCTGTTTTTGTGGTGGCATGTATGATATGGAAGCTTTCTGGTTATTTAGAAAATCAGTTGAGACTTGTATTGAAATCATATATCAAGTAAAGATTTGCTAGGGAGGGTGACCTTAGTCACTGAGCATTAGACCCTGTTCCCCACTTCGTGTCAAGGTTTTGGCAGCTCAAGACTTCGTGCTGCGGTACCATGTTCTCAGGGTGGCTCTGTGATCCTTCACAGCAGTCCCAGATGATTTGGTCTCTCAACAACTGCATTTTCCCAAAGCACGAGAGAAGTTCAGACACTGCAACAGTCAGAGAGTATTTAGCTCCAGTATTTGACACCACTCTAGGCTGGAGGGAGAATTGATGCTCCCCAAGCACATGTTGTGACTACAGCTGCAGCATCCGTCCTTTTCCACTAGTACGTATTTGGATTGCATCTGCCCTTGCTAACTTTGTATTTTCATCTGTTATACTCTAAAACCAGGAGCAAATGCCTTGACATGTATTCACAACACTTGTGTAATTTTCATGTAATAAAAGGAAGTCTATTAACCTAACATTATTTCTTTTCAACTGAGATAATAGAAGCAATCAGCACTGATGGTGCTGGACTCTAAGATCCTACCTGGACAGCAGTATGAACAGTTGAAATACAGAGGGCTAGTGCAGAATCCCATCACATGTTGCAGTCTTGCATCTCTTGTACATCCAAACTGCTACTGTGGGAATTTTGAAGCTGCCTTCAGCATGAGAGAGGATGTTCTTGCTCATGGAGAGAGTCCTACAGGGAGGTAAGTGACAGTAATGGTCAGTCAAACCTTGGTGTAGAGGGAAGTGTTCTAAACTCAGCCTTTCAAATATTCAGGTTTAGTACTCTCAATTACAGAGTCAATTGCAGCATGGAGAGAATCAGAATTGCCTGTGTGTGCAATAAAGCTGGGCTTGCTCCCAGTCTGGCAGCCAGTGTCATTCCTGTGGCTGGCATTTCAAGTGTAGCCACCTTGCAAATGAGTTTAAGTCATGCACAGTGTAGCAGTTTCATTGTTTCAAATCCTGAGACAGAAGAACAGGATATTTCTTTCCCCCTAATGAATGTCGTCCAATTTTCTGCTGAGATTTTATACACTGCAGGTAACTTCTAGATGTGGTGATTGTTTTTGGAGGCAGGTAAAATGACCAAGAAGGAAATGAAAATAAACAGGACGGAGTACCAGAAAACCCATTTCAGAGAGCAGATACTAAAATGCAGAGGACAAGTGTAGGGGTAGGAAAGGGGAGCAGGGAAGGATGAATGCCCAAAGACACTAATGACAGTATTTGGAAGAGTGCCTTGAAGGCTTTAGTCTTTTCTCTCTAGTCCTGAGAGGAAAAGGAAAAGCAAAGTGAGCTTCCCAGCCTCCTCCCAGTGGTTCTGCTGGAACCTAAGCAGAGGGAAGCCCCTCTAGGGGATTGAAAGCAGTAAAATATTTCAGTACAGTTCACTTTTTTTTTTTTTTTTTAGTCTGCAAAAACTGAGGGAAGTTTCTTGAAATTCAACAAGTATTTCTAAAATGGGACTTTATCTGTGAACCTGGACCCCAAATTAAGTATTGTTCCTTGTCACATGTGCAGTTCATGAAAAAAAACTTTTAATTATATATTTTGTACTAAAGGTCTCTGACTCTTGGATTCAAAAACATAAAGAGCTAGAGAATGACTGCTTGACTTTTCTAGTTTTATTTTACTATTAAATATTAAATAAAATTATTCTAGTTTTATTTAATTTACATGTGCCTATCCAGATTTCTCGAAATCAGTCTTTGCCTGTCACTGCCCTGCAGCTCTGACACACCACTCCAGAGCCAGCTGTGCATGAGTAGCTGCAGTTTTCTCACAACTTCTAGAGGACAATATGACCAAATGAGAAAAAGGAGCTTAATTGTGCACGTGTCTTAGTAACAGTGCACTGATTTCTCATAACACACATGAACTTTAAGCTCCATGTATTTTATGATCATACTCTGCCTTTGCAGTGCCCTGCATTCCTCTTTCCCGAGCGTTTGTCATAGAAGCAGACAAATATTTCAGGTATCGCTTTGAGATCAGTGCCAGACCAGCAGAGCAGTGGCATTATTGAGCAGCCCTAGAGCAAGGATGTACAGTATTTCCAGGCAGGGAGGGTTACCTGCCCGCCAGAGCTGCGTTTATCGCTGCACACAGCAGCGGACCCAGCGAGCTCTGACCTCTCGTTCTTATCTGGTGTTTCATGCTCCTGCCTATTTGCTTTTGCAACTGCATCGAGCTACTTGACATGTGAACCCTGGACTATGATCGTTTCTTCAGGCATCTTGTAATCTCGAAACAAGAAAAGTAATTTTGAGGCAAGAACAAGTAATTTCGGGTTCTGATGAAATCTCTGTGAATAGGGAAAAACAAGCAGAGTGGAGCGAGCCCAAGGGCTGGCGATGGCTCCAGCACGCTATCCCCCAAGGCGCTTCTGTTAAACACCTTCACCACTTCAAAATGCAGGTGGAAAACAGCTCTTCCAGGGATTACAGTAGAACTGCACACGAAGTGGATTTCTGAACAACCATTAATTGAGGAGAGGTCAGCGGTAGGGAAGCAATCCCTGTAAAAGGTTGTATTTACATTACGTTACATTGACTTCGAGGCCTGGAATTGCTCCTTAGAAGCCAACACGCGCGGAGAGGGCCGGAGATGGTCCCTCAGGACGACACCCCCCGGATCGGGAGGTCCCGGTGCGGTGCCAGCCCGGCTTGTGGCGGGGCGGCGGGGCCGTGAGGGCAGCGCGGGTCCCCCGTGAGGGGAAGGCGGCGGGGCCGTGAGGGCAGCGCGGGTCTCCCGTGAGGGGAAGGCGGCGGGTCCGCCCTGAGGGCAGCGCGGGTCCCCCGTGAGGGGAAGGCAGCGGGGCCGTGAGGGCAGTACGGGTCCCCCGTGAGGGCAGCGCGGCGGGGCCGTGAGGGCAGCGCGGCGGGGCCGTGAGGGGAAGGCAGCGGGGGCGTGAGGGCAGCGCGAGTCCGCCGTGAGGGGAAGGCAGCGGGGCCGTGAGGGCAGCGCGGCGGGTCCGCCCTGAGGGCAGCGCAGCGGGGCCGTGAGGGCAGCACGGCGGGGCCCTGAAGGCAGCGCGGGTCCCCCGTGAGGGGAAGGCAGCGGGGCGCGGCCACCCTGAGGGCAGCGCGGCGGGGCCGTGAGGGCAGCGCGGGTCCCCCGTAAGGGCAGCGCGGGTCCCCCGTGAGGGGAAGGAAGCGGGGCCGTGAGGGCAGCACGGCGGGTCCGCCCTGAGGGCAGCGCGGCGGGTCCCCCGTGAGGGAAAGGCAGCGGGGCCGTGAGGGCAGTGCGGGTCCCCCGTGAGGGGAAGGCAGCGGGGCCGTGAGAGCAGCACGGCGGGGCCGTGAGGGCAGCACGGCGTGGCCGCTCCGCCCACCCCGCGCAGCGGCGCCGCCGCCACGTGACCGCGCGGCGCCGGCGAGCGAACATGGCTGCGGCGGCGGGGTGAGTTCGCTCCGACGGCAGCGGGACCCCGGACCGCCCGGCACACCCGAGCCCCGAGCCCCGAGCCCCGCTCCCTGCGAGGCCCCGGCGCGGCCGGTGGGACTCGCGGGGGGTGTCCCCGGCCGGCGGCGGGGCCGGGCCGGCAGGGCATAGGCTGGCGCCGGGCTGCGTGCTCCGTTGCCGGGATTCTCCGAAAGGATTTCGGGTTTTGCGCGGGGCGAGGAGACAGCTGTGAAGGGTCCCACGGGCGGGTTGGCTCGCAGTGCCTCGTCCCCAGCCGTGCGTTATCCTATACGTTGTCTCAGGTTTGGAAGTGATGCTTAAAGGTGGCTTGGATTGCATAGCACAAGGGTTTTCCTACATTTTATAGCAAAATTCAGCCATTTCATCCCGCGCTGTAAGAAGGTGCCATTATAACTGTGTGGAAAGGAAAGGAGAAGTTTCCAAAGTGGCCGAGCCCGGGTCAGGCTGGGGCGCGGCTGTGGCCGGGCTGGGGGAGGTCGCTGCCCTGCGGGTCCCCCGGCCCTGGTGTCCCCAGCGTGTCCTGCCCCGGCAGCTCCTGCCGGCCCTGGCCACCCTGGGCTGCGCTGGGAGGAGGGACTTCACACTGTGACCTTTACCAGAAGCACTGAGTTGGCCGTGAAGAAAATACCCATTTTATACCGTGAACAGCCGTAGCTGCTTTTACTACGGTTGTATCGCCTGTTTCCTTGTGTTAGCATTCAGGAACACACATAATCACGGGATATGATTATCTGCAGGTGCTTTTACTGAGAGCTCTGGGAATCAGGGGTACAGACCCAAATCTGACTCTGACACGGCTTTCGAGCTGAATGTATTTTATATTCTATCATTATATAACTTACATATTAATTATTAAACATATTGTTCTATTATATACATTGACTTTATTCAAGCATGAGTTTCTTGTGATCTTTCTTAGGCCCCTGACCACAGTTTCTCATGATTATTCTTATGATTAAACAGTAATTATATTTAATTACTAAACAATCATCACATCTAACAATTATATCATTTATCATGTACTAGCTACACAGGTGCAGTTCTAGCAAGGTACAAGGCCTACATGTACCTAGGTATTTATTTTTTTCAGGGCCTACTAAGCTTAGTTTTCCTTTTAACCCTAAATCCCCATGATTTAAAAACCCTTTTACTAATTTTGGCTGCTGTTAGCGTAGGCCACTCGAGCTTCACATATGGGGTGTGGAAACAGCATTGGGAGTTGTTTACGCTTCAGGCTGGTGTTGATGGATCTGTTGCTCAAAACAAACAAATAAATAAGGCCCAGTCAACAAACAAGTGATAATTTACTGAAAAGTAGTTTCAGTGGTTTCTCATCTTCATTGAAATCTGGATCCTCTCTGTGGGATCTCAGTAGAACAGAAATGGCAGTCCATTAATTTTCTGCCAAAAAAAAAAACCCAGAAGTACAAAAGGTTAACTGAAAAATGGTAGGAAAACCATGAATAAAATAGGAGTTTTGGTTACCAGTGTGTTCTGGTGGTTGCTTTACAACAAATCCAAAATTCTAGATGAATCATATAGTACCAGAATGTGCGCTCTTTAAAATAGAAAACTTCTGAAATAATCATTGAAAATCAGGAGCTCCAGGCAAAAGAAAAATATCCTTTAAAGAAACAGATGTAGTTTAATGTTCCTAGCTATATTTCACTTGCAGTATAATAAAATAAAAGAGCTCGTCTGTGAGCTTGGGCCTAAGTGATCATAAAAATTGTATGTGACAGCCAGCAGGAAACTGTCGACTACTGTGGGAGGCCTTTACCAGAATGCTCAGTGGTTGAATGCTGGTACCAGACTGGAGAAAACAAGGGAGCTGAGCTTCTCTTGTCCTCTTTTGCTCTTGCAAGTGTCCACTTTTGTCAGCTGCTAAGGTTTGTTTGCAGAAGCTTGCATAGCTTCTGCAGAGGCGTGCACCACAAAGCAGTGCTTGTATCAGATGTGCTTCTGTATCAAATGTGTAACTTCACATGAGAGCTTTGGACATGGCTGGACATGCAGGAGTCCTTGTGCTAACAGAAGAAGCTGACCTTGAAGGGCCAGCCAATGTGTTGTATTAATTCAGTTCTGATAATTAATTAAGTGTCTTGTAAAAAGACACTTGTCTGAGTGTAAAAAGACACTCTTGTCTGAGAAAATTTGGGCTGTTCTGGAAAGCAGAAGGCTGTATGGAGACTCACAGCACCTCCCTGTATCTGAAGGGGCTACAGGGAAGCTGGAGAGGGACTGTTCATCAGCAGCTGCAGTGATAGGGCAAGGAGTAATGGGTAGAAATGGAAAGAGAGGAAGTTTAGGCTGGATATTAGGAAGAAATTCTTAACTTTAAGAGTGGTAAGATACTAGAACAGGTTGCCCAAGGAGGCTGTGGATGCCCCAGCACTGTCAGGGTTCAAAGCCAGGCTATGCAAAGCATTGAGCAGCCTGCTCTAGTGGGAGGTGTCCTTGCCCATGACAGGGATGTGGGGCAAGATGATCTGTGAGGTCTGTTCCAACCCAACCCATTCTATGATGCTGTGATTTTTGTGTCTTGTGGGATATAACTGAGGGATTAGAGATCATGGACCAAAATGAAAAGCTTGTAGCTTCTTCCCTAAAGAGAATTTTTGGCAGTTTTTTTCCAAGGCAAAACCTAGTTTTACACTGCTTACACCGTAATTGCATGTGTATTTGTAGGGTTGATAGACATGTGAGGCACTTACATATGTGTACCCACTCAATTTGTTACAATTCATTGAACAGCCAGTCCTATGTGTGACATTTTTTTCTTGTGATCATGAGTATTATGAGAGTTCTGTTTCCCAATTTTTATTTGCCATGGAAAGCCAGGTGTACGGCCATACACCTTTTTGTAAGACTTAAATGCCCCTGTGAGTATTGTGTCTGAAGAGAGCTCTCTGTGCTAGCTGTGGGAAGCTCGTGCATGGCTCGTGTGCCAAGTGAGTGGATCTCTGCAGGCAAAGCAGCACCTGCTGTTCTGCCATGTTGTCAGTCCATCCGGGGGTGCCATCAGTTTGGCATCTGGGTGCTTGCAGGATTAAAAACAGAACAAGGGCTGTGGAGGAAGCAAACTCCTCCTCTAAGCTGAATATTCTCTCTAAAACCTAGTTGGTTTTCTATGCAGAATTCCAGTTGTGAAAGTCAGTGTATTTCTGGGCAAGCTCACTCCATCTGAGGTAAGAACTAACATGAGTGCTCAGCAAGAGCCTGAGAACAGAGCAGGATTTGCACAACACTCAGCCCTGCCCTCGGGTCCTGCAGCCCTTGCTGCAGGGTCCAGCATGCTCAGCTCTTGTGGTTTCTACAGAAGCCTTAAAACAGATACCGAGGCCGTGGCCCTGAAGAAACTGTGCTTGTCTAAAGCCACTGCAGAGGCCATGCTCTGCTGTGGGTTAATATTGTGGCATCATATTCAGACAGGGAAAGTAGGATCTGTTATGGCCAAGGAAGAACACGCTTTCACTTAAAGAAAACATGCACAAGAACTATCATTTTGCACTAGAATGCAGTTTAGCTTCAGCATTAAGATCCCAGTAAAAGGCACACTTTAGTGGCTTATTAAAACTACTGGTATGAATTGCTGTCTGATGTCATTATTTCTCTTTAAGGGTCGTTTGGATTGTCAAAGGTTTTAAGTGTAATAAAAGCATTAATATTAGACTTAAGAGAGATGAAAATGTGTCTTTGTAGCAGCTTCCTATGAACTCCAGGATGTAGGAATAGGTCTGGAGGAGAGAGGTCAGAGTTCTCTCTTTTTTCTTTTCTTTTTTTTTTTTTTTTTAAATCACAGCAAAAGATCCCCAAACTTGTGAAGTGAGTAAAATTGCAATGAAGGTGACTTTCTTCCTTCCTTTGAAGCAAAGCATAAGACAGGCTGTGCTACAACCTCTGCCTGTTAGGTTTTTGGGTTTTTTTAAATCGGCAGATACAAAGATCTGAGAGCGACATATAAGGGTATCTGATGATGTTCTCTCCTCCCTTTTGCAAATGCCCCATAAGGTGAGCATATGATTTCCAGGCTGTTGCATGTACTTACTCCAAGGGATGATCATGCTTGGAGAACAGCGTTTTCAGCCTCTCGTGCATTGCTGAATTACTGAGCTGCAGCTTTGTACCTGGCAAGCCTTGCCTATTTTTAGTTTGAGGTTCATAATCTGACTTAAAAGTTTCAGTAGCTTTTGCTAGGATTTTATGAACTTGCTTCCTTCTTACAGGCATGGGTACCCCAAACCAAAAGGTTATGCACAGCTTCCAGGCTGTGCTGATGTGCTGCAGCCCTTGTGATGATTACCTGCCTTGGTGAGGGGTTGTCAGGTGTATGTTAGAAGGAATAAAAATAAACACATTTGGGTTTTGTGCACCATCAGCTGAACTTGTAAGCAGATAGTTTGAAAATTGGATTAGGAGGAGCGGTCTTTTACCTTCTAAAATTACTTAAGCTATTATATCAAGTGGTTATAAGCAAGTCAAATAAAGTATTTTATTAGGTCTTTTATGCTGCAGTAGGAAATTACAGGGTTTACATTTCTGAGGTTGATAGAGTGTTTTAGGAGGTTATGCAGCTATAAATCAAAGGTTACCTTTCAGATTGCCTATGAAAGCTATATAATAATTAAGATGTGGAGCTTTGCTCCTCTGAGGTTAAGTACTTTGGTGGTTGGTTCATTTTTTGTCATCTTAACATAGTAACAAGGTAACTGCACCTTTCTGGCATCTGTAGAGCGTAGCTGATAGAAAGTGACCATCCTGTCAGTCTTGGAGAAGCTGAGGTGGAGGGACAAATTGGACTTAAATAATAGGATTTTATGGATAAATTTTATTGGTCATCTCTAATACTGAGGCTCCAAAGCGTAGCTTTGCTCTGTTAAGCATTAAAAAACACCCCCTAAACAAACTGCTTTTAGATTCTTCTCATATCATCTGGTTAAACTTCTTCCTCTGCTCCATATCCTAGAAAAGCTATAGTGTTTCTACTGGTAAATTTCCAAAAGGTGCACTTATGGACCTGAAATAAATGTTAATGAATCAGCCACATATTCTCGAGGTACTTACAACATCTAAAATTACTTAGTAGCAGCTCTCTGCTGTTAAACTGTATCCTCGCAGTTGCAGCTCTGTTGAGTACAATCTTTCAGAAGCTTTCTGGGCCGTTTCAGTGCATTTTTGTGGCCTTAGGGACAAGCGGTGGTACCCAATACATGCTGCCGTGGCCCCGTGTTTGAGTTCAGTCACTGGCTGCGGCTGCTTGTGTGTGTTCAAGAATAAACATACATACGTAGAAAAGAGATTTGCACATCCTGTGTGAGTGTGGGCAGTGCTGTTGTCCTGTGTCTGCTGTCCATCATCTTTTCTCTGCACTCCCTGTTTCCCACAAGGACTTGCTGAAATTTGCTAGACTTACTGTAAACATCAACTTCTGTTTTCAGCACCTCAGAATTAATTTTCTTCCCTCCTGCTTTGCCTCTCCTCAGCTGACACGGGCTGTAGTCACTGTGCGTTGCATTGCCCAAAGGGATGTGATGAGGGATGTGCTGTGGGCTGGAGCTGCAGCCAGCCTTGGCTGCTGTTTCCACCTCTTTCCTGTGGTACTTGTGTGAGCAATGCTTGATGGTTGCTTGAGAGCAACACGTGTGTACAACATCTCTTCCCCAGGAGTGATGAGCCTCTTGTTAGTAGAGTTGAATTAAACTAATGGGTGCTGTGCATCCAAATTGTGCTAACCACTATCTTTGCCATTAATTGTCAATTGAAAAAATCTCTTTTAGACCCTTCTTTTGGCTGGGGAATGAGACTTTGAAAGTGCCTGTAGCACTCTTTGCCTTGAACAGAAGACGACTGTGTGAACGGCTGAGACAGAATAAGGATGTCCAGAAGAATTCAATTGTTCTGCTGCAGGGTGGAGAAGAAACCCAGAGATACTGTACTGATACTGGTATTGTGTTTCGCCAGGTAAGAGCTGAATCAAAACTTTCAAATCAAGAAACTCCCTTTGACTGCATGAATTTTTAAATTATTTTAAATTATTTTCCCTGTCTCTCAGATGTGCATTATCTTGCTTCGATTAAATAAATTGGCTTCTTTATAACATTGCTTCTTCAGCTTTGAATTGCTCTCACTTTCAGTGCTTTAGTGCAGGCTCATTATCTGTTTTAAAGGGCCTAAACCTGTTCAAGGCCTTACTGCTCATCAGTGTTTGAATCTAATCTTGTAGACAGCAGTGGAATATTTCTTCATTTTTTCAATCTTGTCTGTGACCCAAAAAACAACACCGTCTTTGTGTAATAAAACATGTTACAGCAGACCTAACCTGAATTAATTAATAAAAAAGTATATTTCATAGTTTTATAAAACAACAGCCTATCTTGGAATTCACAACATTTATCTTCTTAAATTAGACTCTTCCTTAAGTACCCATGTTTCTTCTGTCACAAATAGCACGTAACACTTTCTGGGGATGTTGGTGTCAAAGAACTCAAATTATACATATCCCATATCCTGCATGGTTTCTGCAGCATTTTGTTTTGTGAATTTAATTGAGCTGTTGTATGTTATGAAGAAACAAATGCAGTAAATTCTAATTTAGATAGCACATGTCCTAATGTAGTTATTAGTCTAGTTTTAGAGCAGATGCATCTTTCAGGGTACTAGATCATACATCTGTCCTTATCAAAATTAAATCCTGTATTGTTAGGTGTTTTGTTGTTTGCTTGCTTGTTCTAAAAATAACTCTTGGCTAAGGGCTGTTCCTAGTTCAGCTTCCTCTTCTCTGGGAAAGGTTGGGGTTTCACTTCAGCATTCTACAACACAATGAAGCTGTACTCTGCTTTTGCTTTGTGTCTTGTGAGGCGATTGTTTCTCCCTGATAATACATTCCCTAATTCTAGAATGTATTTTAATGTGTAGTGTCTGTTTATTGTGCTGAGTTAATCTCTTTATGGTGGTTTATTAATCTCTGATCCTTTCCAGTTGCCAGCAAAGGGATTTGCATTATTCTAACCTAAAACTAACCAGTCTGAAAAGGTTTAGACCTAAACTACTTCTCCTGCTCCAAAAGCAAGAGACCTCTTCTAGATATGTGGAAATAGGAATTAATATGTACTATAGTGTATTTTTAGAGCTGGTAGAAGTGAGGTCTCTCTTCTAAGAATGTATTTTGTTTTAACCTAGGAATCTTACTTTCACTGGACTTTTGGAGTAACTGAAGCTGGCTGCTTTGGAGCAGTAGATGTTGATACTGGAAGATCTATACTTTTTGTTCCACAACTCCCTGAAAGCTATGCTGTTTGGATGGGAAAGTAAGACCTATCTATTAACTGCATTCTGGTGTATCCAAGTACTTTATATAATGTAACTGCCTGTAGAGCTCCACTGTTGTGTCATTTAATCAGATTCCACCAAATCACGCCCTGGGAATGATATTTGCAAACAGAGATACAAAACATGATCAGTTGATATTGGTCATGTGATATGAAATGATCCACCACCCTCTGGAACACAGTACCCTTAGAACTGGAACCCCTGAATCTCACGGTGTCTCTGAGAGGAAGGTGAGCCATAAGGAAAAGTCAGTATCCTGTGTTAAGCCCAAGTAAGTTAAACAATAAAGCAGGCTTTTTCAAGCTGCTTTGCCAGTTTGCAGCAGCCTTAGCTAATTAAGCTTTCTGAATGGCATAAGGTAGTTTTGCCTCTGATAGGCTTTTTTAAAACAAGCTCACAGACAGGAAAATGTGAATTTAATGCTATTCTATGAGTGTGCCATAAACATCTCTCCATCCACCTTAGTAGTAAATACTGCACAATGCAATAGTAATGGAGGAATTGATTTATTTATGTGTTCATTTATTTTCTCAGTCTTAATTGTATTTATACCCTCTACCAATTTTTGTAAATTTTTGTATCATCTACATTGTCTCAGAACATTGGCTTGCTTCTAATTTAATCTTTTGACAAGCTGCTTTACTTCTAATTGAAGCTATCACTTATATTTTAATGCTAATTTTGGGAAAAGGAAAACAGTTGTAACTGATCCCATGTGCTGAACTGTGTCAGACCATATGGCAGGGCATGGCTGCTGTCTTCTCAGAGAGTTTATATGAATTTCACTGTCTTAGACCTGTCTGGGGACTGAAATTGTGATGGCAGAAAAATCTGCCTACTGCTGTCTGAAATATTTTAGCTGTGAGCCACACCTGTTTGGGAGGGCAGGTTCTGTAATCCCCCCATGTGTACTCTCTGAAGTGTGTTCCCACTTACAAAGTTTTTTCCTATCCTTAGGTTCTCTTCTTCTAGTTCAAAACAGCTGTTTCATACCCACAGTAATTGTGCCTAATCTAAGAAAGCTTAAAAATATTATTGAAATTCCAGCATCTCATTTTGCACTCTCAAACAAAATATTGTGGTGCTTATAACTAGTGGCCTTTTTGATTTGTTTGTGCAGCACTTGTTATCTGTCCATTTACAGAATTAATTAAGTCTAGTTAAAAGTGTTTTATTGTCATTGTTTGTGTCTTCTTGCAGAGTATAACAAATGGTCTTTGTTGTTTTCTAAATTCTTCTCCTTACACTTCCTGAATCCCTCTGTTTGAATCTTGTTTTCTCTTCTGTCAGCCGTGGTCATGTACTTTTTCTGCTTGTCAGAAGGAGGATGGGTGAATAACTCATTTGTGAGTCAGTAGCGGTTCTGCTTCATAAGTTGGTTGGCAGTGAGTACTGCTCACAGCTGGGGATTGTGTTCCTTCCCAGAAGATTCAATTTTAACTCAAAATTAGCACTGAAAGAAAAACACAAGTAAACATGCCTTCCATCCACTGCAGTTTATTACTGGAGTTTGCCTTGGAAGTGCTTATTTCTGGGCCCGTGGAAGGCACTATCTGCCCACTGGCTTAACATCAGTGAAGCAGAAATCATTGTAATGCTTTGTGTGATATTTGAGAGGTTGGTATCATACAGAGCTCTGCAGTTGGTCTGCTAGTTCGTAGCACAGGGTGGAGTTGCTTTGCCTGGTGTTTATTCTGCTTTCTATTTAAGACAGATGTGAATTTGGGCAGAAATACATAGATTCTCTTAAAATTAATGCAAAGGTCTCTTTACTACAATTTTAACATTAACATTACTAAATGTATCATTTGATGTAGTGTTGTGCCTTCACTTCACTGAAGAACACGTATTTGAGTTGCTTTTGAAGCATAGTGTGGCTAATGTGTCATTCAGAAGGGTTAATCTTTTTGCCTTGAAGCAATACAAAAATGGGGCTTCTTGGCTCCATTCAGACTGCAGTCTCAGTTTGGCCAAAGCCAGTGCAGTACCTGAGAGGGTTTGCTTGGAGATCAGCACACTGTACATTTACACACGAGACCATGAACACTGTGATTCGTCCAGCCCCACCAGTGCACTGGTTTTGATGAGTGGTGCTGCATGCTGAGGTGGTGCCTGGGGACTCTGCAGAGCAGATGGGTGTGGAGGGGGGACACCCCACTCTGAGCTGGGGGCACCCACAAGCCAGCGCTGTCAGTACGGGTGGTGAGGGTGACCGCTGCTTTGGAGGTGTTACGGATCTGGTAGGACACCATGCTGAATGTGTGTGCTCTGAAGGTGTGTAAAAATAGTTGTAAGGCTACCTTTCAGAAGTCCTTCAAGCCAAAATAACCTCTGCAGTTTTAAAAGGAAGGAGAGATTTAGTTTAGCTCACAGACTATGGACCTTCTCCAAAAAAACCCAAAGTCTTTTAAGGTAGCAGTCACAGAATTGTTATGAAGGTAATTGCGGGGCTGGTGGTCCTATGTTCATGGAAGTGATCACAACAGAACTGCTCTGTTTTTAAATTATGGCTGTGGGCATTTCTCCAGATGTTGGGCCAGCCAGTTTCTTAGCTGTTGGCTGGAAAAACCTCTTCAAGTAAGAGAACCACTTTGCCTGTTTCTTGACCTGTACCTCTGCCCTTGTCCCTCTGTCATTTGTAAGGCGGAAACATAGATTCTGAGAATGACTCTGAGCTTAGTGGGTGGCTTTTCTGCTTCTGAATAGTTTTCTGTTTTTAAATTTAGAAGGAAGAGTTTTAGAAATTATTTTGGTAATATAGTATAGTAAAGGCTTCAGAAGTGTAAATGTTTTGTAAATGTCCCTCTTTCTTGGCACAGTCTTACCTAATCAAGTTTCTGGTGCAACAAAGCTGTTAGCCATCATTTCTGTTCATAGAAAGCATTGAGTTAGTATGACTGCATGCCTTCACAAAGACTTCAGTTTTGCTAATTAATGCTGCACCTGCCATTTACCTCCTTAATTATAAATGACAGAACTAGTCAGTGTGCTGATTAAAGATATTTTATAAAGTAAAACATACTGTACAGCAGCTGCTTTTTGTGGAGAGCATGCCAGAATGACTTAATAGCCTGGCCACATAGAGTGTTTTTAAAGGAAGACAAAAAGTATTTAACCCTTTCATGCTCTAACTTTAGAAACACATATTAAATGTATTACTGGTTCAGAAAAATAAAATGGTGCTGTGGTGTTCAATTAATGATGCAATTTCCTGTGTTTTCTCTGAAGCTCTGCTGGATGACTGGTAAGCATTGCAGCTTTAATCTGACTTTAGTTGCACTCACTTAATTGCACTCACTCTAAATTCACTCACTATAAGTAATGTTTTTCTGTTAATAAGATTGAAAGCTATCTGTGTGTTCAAAGTTGAGCCTTGGATTAGTGCTTGGAGCTGTAATAAAGCACAGTGAAAAGCTTTGCAAATGTTAGTTATTTCTCAGTGACCTAATAAGGAAGCTCTTTAAAACATTGTCGTAAATTTCAAATAGATTATAACCAAAAGGAACCTTTGGTTTTGGTGATTACACTTGACTGACATCAGCAAAACTAAGTAGTTTTACTGCCAGTTGAAAAAACTGCAGAAGTATATTGTTGGGGGTTTTTTGTTTGTTTGCTTTTTTTCCCCTTAACACTTTTGAAAGGATCAGATGCAAGAAAAGAAGGGATATCACTTTTGAAAGGATCAGATCAGTACAAGAAAGCCTCTCAATCTGTGTGGGCTTTTACCTGTTTTTTCTTATAGAACTTTTTAGGACCATGAAAATTAGAAGCTAAGAAATTGGTTTCTTGATCTCTTCTAAATGGAGATTGGTGAGATTTTGTGGCATTTGTATTTTGAATAATTGTTAGTATTAAATTGTGCACAGCATGGTATGTTTGACTGTATCGTTGTGATGGATTCTGGTGCATGAAATACTCTTGTTCTGGCAAGCAGAGGGCAAGGTGTGTAGAAGGGAAGCTGACAGTGGGGGCAGCTCTTTGGGAAGGGAGTGGAGTGTGCGTGCAGGTTATAGGGAACAAACTCCAGATTCCCTCAATTACACTTCTTAATGTACATTTTGCAGGAATGAAGGACATCTTCTACAGGAGTTTTATTAATGTGCAGCATACAGGTCCTCTTCTCCATAGCCTGCTCCAGAGCTGTGTGTTTTTTGGTTTTACCCTCAGAACTGATCTGCCATCTACTACTTTTTTTATTGTAATTTTTTCTCTAAAATGCTCTCTTTATGCTTCTCTTTTCCTGTGTCTCTCAGTTTGATCTTTTACTGCAGTGTTCACTTCCTGGTACCCACTGAATCTTCATTTTGCTGTCTTAAAAACACCCCAGGTTTAAATCAGTTTAGGTCATCTTATTACTGTTTTGTACCAATTGGCATTGCAACTTATCTGCAAAGTTTATTACCATCTGGAAATGTTCTCTGTGGATCTCAAACATACTCAGTTCTGCTTCTGTTTCTGAGTAGTGTCAGAACTAATTTCAATCTTTTCAGTATCCCACTAATCAAGACTTGCAGTCCATTTCTGTTTATTGCTTTAACTTCTGGGAACATTGGTCTAAATTGACACAGCACTTTTCAGTGTGGCAGTTGGAGGATTTCCCAGCCCAGGGAATGCTCATCTTTTTATCTATTTATTTGTTTTTATTTTCTGCTTTAAGCTTTTCTGTTTTCTTACTATGACTAGTCACTGAGTTTCAGGATACATTGTAGCATTTCTGTCCAAGCCAATTTGAGTTAATTTTGGAGAGTGGCAGTCTTGAGAGAGTTTTTTTGTCAAATATTTTATTATTATTCATGTAGTACATCTGTTGCTTTGCCCTTCATCTGATCCTTTCAAAACTGAACAATAAAGCTGGTTGCTTTTGATTGACAGGACTTACTTCTGCAATCCCCCAGGGTGCTTATTTTCCATGATTCCAGTTCTCTCCCTGGTACAGTGATTTCCATTCCTTGTCCCCTATTCATTTTTTATTGTATTT